TTGCTTAATTCGTGTAGGGAAATCTTGAGTTAATCTTCGCTTAGTTGGTTAACTCGGATGGAACAAGGATTAAGTTATGAACAGAGAAATGTTCTGAGAACCAGGGATAAAAGAGTTGAAATCTGAGCAGGGAACCAATCTGTTTTACTTATTGTTTTATTTCGTATTATTGTGTTACAAACTGAAAATCCGAAAACAAACCCCCCCACTGTGTGTTTAAGCCTTTAACAGTAAAAGACGGTCCTTGGGAGACGACCTAGGAGTCACTTCCTAGTACTACATTTAATTGTATTTATTTGACCGGATACGACTTCGATCATACCCCCAAGAAAGAACTTCTTGTAGAAACCCACTACAAGAATTCCTTACCACTTGAGATACCTACTCAAGATTTCCCTTACACTTTACACAAAGAATTAAAGGAACGAATTCACCTGGAAGATGAACAAATCAGACTGTGAATTCCAAACATAAATCTTAATCTTCCTCTCCCAAAAATGTAGTGATCATGATGATCTTTTTCAAAGCATTTCACAAAATGTTTTTCTTCTTGGTTTCACAAAGAAAACACCCCAAGAAGGTCACAAAGACTTTACAATATAGTTTTTCTCTCGTTAATTCTCAATTCATTCTCTGTTCTGAAGTTTCAAAGTGTGAAAACTATTTATAAAAATTTCAGAACCAGATAATCGATTATTTTAAAGGATAATCGTTTATTTTGCTCTTCATGATTTCTAGAAATCACTCAAGAATAGAATAATCGATTATTTTGTAAGATAATCGATTATTCCAGAAAGTGCTTCCTGGAACAATTGATTATTTCACAGATAATCGATTATTACAGTAAGGCTCTTTTCACCTGTTGTTGGAATAATCGATTACACTTAATGATAATCGATTATTTTGAGTTAGTTTTGAAAAACTCAATTTTATACTTCAAAAATCTTTTCAAGTATTTTAAATGATCATCATACTCACTCTCATTCAAATTAGATTAAAATTAACTCATGCACAAAGCATACAATGCAAA